TCTTCCATAAGGCACATCCTATGACACTAGACATCAGCAGGGTAAACATGCTCACAGTGCACTGTATTTCACTGAAGATGTATGTTTTGACTGTACCCAACTGAATGTCTTGGCAATCTTGAAGGACACTGCTTACATTTTATTCCTCCTTATCCCCAACACTAGAGTAAACACACTCCCCTCTAATACACCTCAGTGTCCTGTATCATAGCCTCTGCTTTTCTAGAAACATCTCCCCAGCCATGCAGTTTCTTCACAGCAATTCTCCTAATTGCTTTGCACCAGTATCACCTATGCATCTTTGGAAAGTAGAATTTTTGAACAGTAAATAGCAATATTTTTATTTGAAATGTCATTCTTGGAGTACTAGAACTAAGGAAGACAGTTTCCTACAAGCAGATTTTCTAGTAATTTTCTAAATATTTCTCTGTAATAAACATTCTCTTCTGGAGTTTCTATGCAACTTTTCTTATGGCATAACCAGGTTCCTTTCTTCTCACCAAATACATATTATTCCAAGGCTCTCTCACCATTCAGGTGACTGGATGGAAGTCAGCCAGTTGGTCCTGGAAATATTAGATACACACTGGCAGCATAACTGCACAAGTTTCTACAGGTCTATTGTAGGGATCAGTGATGGACTTAACTTTGATCATGGGGTAGCTGCCACCTTTTTATTTTTATCTCTGGGTCCTTTTTTCCTTATTTTTTTCTTTATCTTTTTTTTTTTTTTTCCTTATTTTTCTCTCTCCCACCTTGATAGAAATTCTATTTTTGACTGTGTAACCAAGACAAACCATTGAAGAAAAATAGATACTTGCTCCAGAAATAATCATTGCTTAATTGAAAATTTTTGTTAACTTTTTTTCGGATGGAAAATTTGATATTCAACCAGCCTGCTAAAATATTTGCAAAGACCCAACCTATATTATTGTTCACGAAGATTAGTTCACACATGTATGTTGTTTTAGTATCCTGTACACTCAGTTCTGTCAAGTGTATGGTTTGCCTTTAAAAATATTTTATAAAGTGCATATTCTGACCTGGAATGGTTTATGAAAACTCATTGAAAAGCTCTGTGCCAAATCAGGCCAGTGAGTAATTTCATGTGGGTAAATAAAGTAGTGAAATAAACATGGGAAAGATAAAACATTTTTTCTTACTTAAGAAATGGTCTCTTCCTTGTGACCAGAATCTACAATCAACATTTACACCACAACTAATAGGCAACTATTGATGTAGTGCTGCAGAATGTGCCTCCACATGGCTTGTGCTGCAGTTGCCCCTATTCCATTTAAGACACTGGAATTCCTTAGAATTTGCCTTCAGAAGAAGCATGTTTTCCTTTCTCATAAAAAGTTACAAGTATTGACTAGTAATGCAAAAGCACAGGATGAATAAGAAAATTGTTTTCAGTATATTGAGTTGACAGTTACTACACTGGAATGCTAAACCACTGTTTAACTAACCAAGCAGTTGAGAAAAATCTACTGTAAAGAAGAATTGTCTGTTGATAAATATAATTTATTTTTTATTAGGCTTACATTCAAGTGCAAATATAACAAAAGGAACTTAACAACATTTAACAACAAAGATTTAACAACAAGGGGAAAGGCAGGGACCAACTGTCATAATGGATAAGAAATACCACTTTGTCAGCATGGGCTCAGTTTTGCTATACACTGCAAATCATTGCTCAAATTCACAAGCCAAACCCTCAAAATTGCAAGTCTGCATTTAAAACTAAGTAATTTAAAACTGAAACAGTGAGTTTCTGTTACTCGTTTTCATTTATTTTGAGTTAGAATCAATATCCAAACGCATTCCTCCCATTCTGTCACAGTTTCCAACAAAAGCTAGGATTCCCACATGACTGAAAGAGTTAGAGCTTCAAGAATCACAGCAAATTTAATACAATTTGACTGAAATCAGAGCCTTCAGCAACATAACTTGCTCATTAGTTAGGCAGATCACTTAATCTTTGTTTTCATGTGTGAATTAGCAGGATATATTTCTAACCAGGGTTATAGGTTGATAAGCATTAAATACAACATCTAAAACTGAAAGAGAAAAGTTAAACAACTTGGTTGAAGTTTGAGTAGAGTCCAAAAAGAAGCTTTAATAACCCAGTCTCTGGCTTCTTGCTTTATACTTACACTGTCTCTTTAACACACATACTTACACAAGTCTTTCCACAGTTTTCCTGACTCATTTACACACTCTTAAGTAATCCTACAGCAGTCTAGACTCACATGAAAAAATGTGAACAACTTCTTTCTGCTGTTTCTTTATGTGTGTAACATACATGCATGTATACATGCATATAAAATGCATACATACACACACGCGCACACACATATATATAAACAAAGTCTGGCACACACAACTTGCTGGCGACAGAAAAGCAGTTGGCCTTAATTGCCCAAACCCATTGATGGGATTGTGCTCAAATGCACAGAAGTGCTGAGGACCTCACTGAGAAACAGACAGAGCACTGTCAGAAAATCATGTTTATTCACCCACATTGGAAAAACAGTGTGAAAACAGTCTGTCACTAGATTCAAGTCACTTGATTTGCATCCATAGTAAATTTGACTCTATTTCTGTCTGAATGCTATTTTTAGCTTGGTGGCTTCAAAATCACATAGGGAATGCTGAAAGTGGATGTAGATATAGATATAACATGTGCAAGGAATACATGATCATAAAATCATAGAATCATCTGGGTTGGAAAAGACCTTCAAACCATCAGATCTAACAAGCAATCTGACCAAGACCCGTCACTAAACCATGTCTCTTAGTGCCACATCCACACATTTCTTAAATACCTCTAGAGATGGAGACTCCACCACTTCCCTGCACAGCCCATTCCAATACTTCACTACTCTCTTAGTGAACAAATTCTTCCTAATGTCCAGCTTAAATCTCCTCTGGTGTAATTTGAGACTGTTTCCTCACATCCTATCACTTGTCACCTGAGAAAAGAGACTGACACCCTCCTCACTGCAACCTCCTTTAAGGTAGTTGTAGAGAGACATGCGGTCCCCCTCAACATCTTCTCCTCCATGTTAAAGAACCCCAGTTTCATCTGTTACTGCTAACTTTCGTTTTCTAGTCTCTTCACCAGCTTTGCTGCTTTTCTATGCACACACTCGAGCAACTCAATATCCTTCTTGTAGTGAGGGTCCCAAAACCAAATACAGTATTTGAGGTGCAGTCTCAACAGTGACATGTACAAGGGGATGATCACTTGTCTCATCCTGCTGGCCAGACTATTTTTGATGCAGGCCAGGGTGCCCTTGGTCTTCTTGGCCACCTGGGCACACTGCTGGCTCACGTTCACCTATCAAACAGTACTCTCTTTTTTTTTTTTTTTCTATTGGGCAGCTTTCCAGTAACTCTTCCCCAAGCCTATACAGCTGCATGGGGTTGCTATGACCCAAATACAGGACCTGGCGCTTGCCTTTGTTCAGTGGCACATGATTGGACTCTGTCCATCAATCCAGCCTACCCAGATCCTTCTGTAAACCCTTCCTACTCTGAAACAGGTCAACTGTCCCACTTAACTCAATATCATCCACAAACTTACTGAGGTTGCACTTGATACCCTCATCCAAATCACTGATAAAAATGTTAAACAAAGCTGTCCCTAACACTGAACCCCTGGGGATGGAACTGGTGATCAGCCACCAACAGAATCAAACTCCATTCACTACGACTCGGAGCCTGTCCGTCCACCTGGTTCTATACTTGTCCAAGCCATCGGCAGCCAGTGTCTCCAGAATACTGTGGGAGACAGCGTTAAATGCTCTACTAAAATCAAGGTAAACAACACACACAGCTTTTCCCTCAACTATTAAGTGGGTCATCTTGTTGTAGAAGGAGATCAGGCAGGACTTTATTCAGGCAGGACTTGCCCCTCATAAACCCATGCTGGCTGCTTTTGATCACTTGATTGTCCTATATGTGCTGTGTGATGGCAGTCAAGAACAAACCCTTTATCAGCCATATTGTAATTCTGCAGGTTTGAGATATTCATCATGCCAGTTCCAAAATTTGCAGAGACAGTATTAGCAACGTAGTAACCTGAGAGAAGAAAGGAAAAATCAAGGACCTTCTACAGAATGAACAGAAAATAGGAATGCATTAACTTTGTTCCTTTCAGGCAGCTGTTATGCTAGCTGGACAGCTGACATAGGCATTAGCAACTAAAAGTCGTGCTCTGCTCACATACAATAAAACAGGGATTATTTGCTTGTTCAACATGGCTGAGTAACCTGTCCTAACAAAGACCATGATAAGGATCCTGCTGTGTTCTCTGTTGGCTTTGGTGGTACATGTTTTCACAGAATCATAGAATCATGGTTTCGAAGTGGAGGAAAAAGGGATTCCTTTATGCTACAGCCTAAAGACCATTTATATATAAAACTAAAACACTTTGATGAGAAGAAAAATAATGCCATACAAGATGAGTATCTCTAATGATACTTATCCTGTAGTGCTGTAAAAGGATGTAACCTAGCTCCAGTAACAAAGCAATTGTACTTGCATTACACAGTGTAAATAATACACTTATTTACTCAGCACACAGGAACAGGACGACATGCATGCTTGATGCTGAAGAAAAGTCTGTTTGTGCCTATTATACTGGAGACTATGTACAAGACTGTTTCTTAAAAGCAAGTTGTGTTTGTTAGATTCCTATAATCTATTACTCTGAAATGAACAAGATAGCTTGTAGAATTTGCCACCTGCTTTGGTCCGGCCTGAGCATTTTCAAAGACGGAAACTCACATTATCGCATAGCTGAGGAAAGGAACCCTTGATATGTAGGTCTGGAGGTACTTAAGGCAGTGTCAAAATCTCTGCTTTGCACTGATTTTCTATGGTGTGTATCCTCAAGGAACTTACTAGAACAATACTATGCTACAGAGGAAGGTAATGCAGAAACAAGTGGTTCACTGTGTCACACAGGAAACAATCCATGCCACAGAGACAAGTTTTTGATTTTATCTTATATTTTATTTTGTTTTTATTTTTATTTGCCAGGCTCTAATTCTGCAACTTTTCCATTTTAATTAAATATATATCACTTACAGGATGCCATGAAAGTGTCTCAGAAGGAAATACTTGCAGTTAACAGAGAGGTGACATATCAAATGCACCATATTTATAATAAAACCAGAGTTCTTTATTTCCCCATATATATGTTCCCCCGACTTGGCACTTCTGTCAATAAATCACCCAGTGTGACCATTCAAGAAAATAGCATTTGTCTTCTACTTGCACAGCAACAGAGAAAAGCTCTTCTTTCTGCAAATGGGAGAGGGAACTGCCTGTCCTACAGCTTTTAGCTGAAACAATTTTTAAGGGAATTTGGATCTGCATGAATTGAGACAGGCAAGCTCAGTGTTACCCAATCATGTGAGCACCACTGTATCTTACCTGCAATACTGAAGAACAAGCACTGTGAAGTACCTGGCAATAGTGAAATGTCCTATTGTGAAGTCCATCAGAAGGTATAAAAAGTCCCTTTCTCAAGTACTTTTAGATATATATAGATGCAAGTTGGCATTAAGTGGTGATTTCCAAAGTGCAGAAGCTGCTTAATGGTTTCTGGTTTCTATTCCTTCAAACAAATACTGCGATAACCTTCAGGTGGTGACACATGTCTGTGACCAAGTCACTTCTTGGCACTAGAATTGGTCTCTTCCTTACACATACTCTGCAAGTGGAATGGTGTTTATTCACATGCTCCATCATACCATGGAAGAGGTATGAGGCTGCACCACATGCAACCAGCTGGCTAGACAGAGTGCTGTTGAAGGCACCAGAAACAACAGTTTATGGTTCCCAGCAACTTCAAAGAGCACTGAAGATAAAGGCACAGAACTCCAATCATTACTGAAGTAGTTTTCTGCTCAGAAAAAGCACCTGGTGATTTTGTGGATATGTATGTTACTCACTTTTAAAGGCAAAATGTGAATATTCTTCCAGTTCTGTAAAGAACATTCAAGTTAATGACAAAACTATAAAACATCCTACACGTTACTGTGCTAGAGGCCAGATCATGCACCCTGTTCCTTCATGTAGGGAATCACTGAAGATGCAGAATTTGACCCTTATGTCCTCACAACACCCTTGTGAGGTAGATAGGTACATAACAACTTTTTCAGAATGGGAACATGAGACAAAAAAGAGGTGGATTGACTTGTCTGAGGCTGCACAGCAAATCTGGAAGCAGAACTTAGGTCATGGCCATAGGTCTCTTCACTGCAACACACTGCCTTCCCGCCCAACTTCATCTCCAGGGCTGAATAACCAGCATCCATGTACCCCTGGTCCAACAATACACCTAGTCCAACAAAAATCTTTCCATAGACTTTTTCTGCTTCAGAAATGACATGAACAGATTCTACAAAACACTTTTATCATGGGACCTGAATTCCAAACTACACGAGACAACTTCCATTGCTATCAGCCAACACAAGCCCTACTATCTGGGCTATACTATATTATTTACAAGGCTTTTGGTCAGAGCCTTTCTCATGCCTTGTCTCCACTTCAAAATTCTAGAGTTAATAACGTGCATCAGGGGCTTTCTGAAAACTCCAGGAGCTTTCACCATAGGTATGAAGTCCTATGGTTCACAAGTCATTTCCAAGCTGTCACTAACAAAGTACTGTTTGGCACATGAAACCACATCTACCCGGGGCCAAGAGATGGAAAGTCTCCTGTCCCTGCCAGGACCACAGTGCAAGAAACACAAAGGCAACCTTAATTCATCCTTGCCCAAGATATCATCAGAATCATGACCAGCATGGAATTACGTTATTTCAACCCTCTAAAAGGGTGTCTAAATGCAGTGAGATTTGGGAGTGAAAAGAAGGTGATGGAAAACATGGTTGGATGTTGACTTCGAAAGATTTTATCCCATGGCTAAGGCCAGACTAAAATATAACAAACCTTACACTAGATAAGTGACAACAGGTATTTCTCTGTACAGATGCTGACTTTTGGATATATATAGCTGCTAATGAATTGTCAGCCCTTGTCTGGGTGCAGTGTTCAATCACAATGATTTAAAAGTGCATACCAAGGATAAAATAGTTCAAACCATCTGATATAACAGCTTGCCCTCTCTTTATTTAAAGTTAAATGAATTCTAAATCTTGATGGTAATTGGAAGTACAATAGATCACTTGATCATACGTGTGATCCAGACACATGATCCTTAGGGTTGTGAAATTAAACAGCACATTTGGTGCCACCATGATTGGAATGAGTTGGTTCATGCCTGATCTGATGTTTGACTCCCAGAAGGTAGCAGACACCTAACACTGGATCTGAAGTGTGACAAGACTTTATACAGGGTTTCAGGCAACAACAAAATAGGATCAAGAGTCCATTCCTTGTACAAAACACGAATTCTTCATCGCTCACTGGTTAGTTGTGCTGTTTGCCCAGGTTGGAAATGTATCCAGATCAAACATAGGTCTTCCCCATGTGTTGATGGCCAGTGTGACACAGAAGACTCCAATGATGTTCATCACTATTCCAGATCTAACCTGTGAGGACAGAAGTCCAAGCCAACAATAACCAAACAACAGCACAGCAAAATATGGAAAGACACTGAACACAAAGAAGAAACACAGTCAAATTAAAGCACAGAAATAGCCACTGCACCCACTACCCGATGTTCTTGCTTAGGTAGAAATACTAGGGAATACACCGTGAAAAGGTGAACAGTTTGCTACACAACAAATCTAGGAGCTGTAAGGGATTCAAAAAGAAGTTGCTCTTATTAAAGACCAGCTTCTGTGTCCTTCAAGTCTCCAGTTAGAAAACTGATAATATTTGGGTGTTTGGCACAGAATTTGGTACTGTGTGGTCTGGCAGGCAATCAAAGGACCAGAGTCTAGGGCAACAGATTGTTACCTTCTGCTTTCAGCTCCAGTGGAAATAAGCCTTTAGCTATACTCACCAAAGCCCCAGAAGACACTGGGAAGCACTGGCTGCATTTTAACCCCTTGGTGTTTAAGAGATTTTGACTTGTCAGTTTTTAATTTCAATTGGACTGGGCTGTGTGTCTGCCAAAGCCTATGAGAAAGGTAATGTTGCTGCATAGATGCAAATCTTTATTACAATACTAATAACACATAAGAGAAGGATGTAAAGTGCTAGCTACTGCCCATAAGAGCTTTATGATACTTTGGAAGTGTTAAGCTAAGAAAATTAAACTTTCATCATATTTCAGAAAAAATGCAACGGAGAATTTCAGATAAGAGACCAGACAATTACCATCTTACCATATCCAAAACACGGATGTGGCCATAGGAAAACACTATTGCATTTGGAGGTGTTGCAACAGGTAGCATGAAGGCAAAGGAAGCACTGAGAGTACCAGGCAGCATAACATACAAAGGATGGATCTTGACAGATGCAGCCTGCAGTGTAATGAAGAGAACTATTATACTAGAAGTGTTACCAAAAAAAAAAGAAAAAAAAAAAGCAAATAAAATTTTCCAGACCTTTGAGACACACAGGCTCAGCTCATTCCTTGGTATTACACGACCAGAGTGATTTTCAAGCATTTTATTCTGGAATCCACATGTGCTTAAAGATAACTTTGGTCTCAATCCCTGTCCCACAGTACTGAAAACAATGCTTGATTTTTTCTTGTTGTTTGTTTTGCTCTATGGTATAATTTGGAGTTCTGGTCAAATTTATCCAATGATCTTTTCTTTGACCTCAGACCACATTTTTGGAGTGCTTGTCAGGGTAACATAGCGATGGAACTATAATTACAAGACATGTGGAGTAACATTCTCAGACATTACATGAACTTTGTGGGACTCAGAACTGAAGTGACAAATAGGTCAGCACCTTCACTGAGATAAATTGATATTTGCCCCACGCACAAAAAAGGACGTGAGTGTATTAGAACGAGTCCAAAGGAGGGCCATGAAGATGATCAAAGGGAGGGAGCACCTCTCCTATGAAGAGAGGCTGAGGGAATTGGAGCTGTTCAGCCTGGAGAAGAGGAGGCTCCAGGTAGACCTTATAGTGGCCTTCTAGTACCTAAAGGAGGCCTACAAGAAAGCTGGGGAGGAACTCTTTGTCAGGGACTGTAGTGATAAAACAAGGAGTAATGATTTTAAACTAAAAACTCACTGTCCATTATGGTATACTGTCAAATGGATTGCTTCATTACTGGGTTTCAGATTAACATTAGAGCAACATTCAAGACAGTAAATATGATATTGTTTTGCCACTAGAGACTGACAGTTTACCCCTAATCTCCCAGTTGATAAAACAGCAGAATGGAAGTAATCTTACCATGGATGAAAAGACAGGTAGGAAGAGGGTGGCTGTGGCGACATTACTGGTGCATTCAGTGAAGACAGCTATAATAAGCGAAAGTACTGTTGCAATGGCCCAGGGTGGAATAGATCCTAATGGAGTCATTTGATGACCCAGCCAAGCCGAGAGCCCAGAGTTCTGACAAGAAAAATGTTCTTTGATGAGGCTTAGAACCCCTAGCTCCTGAACAGAAAACTCATGTTATGTGTAATGTTCTTAACATAATGCTAAACGATTCCTGAATTATATAAATACCACCCACAGAAGTACAGAGTTCTGTCATAAACACTAAAGGGATTTCCTTGCCAACTACACTAATATTCAGCCCCACTTTCCTGATTTTCCTGGAACACAAATACTTGTTCACACTTTGGTTACAAAATTAAATTTTCTGCTAAACAGAAACAATTATTGCTGAGACTACAGCAAATACTTAATCACTCACAAGATTCCTAGCACGTGTTTCTAGTGTTTCTGAAGATAATAATGCTGTATGAGTGCTATATTATATGAACACAGACAGCAATTGATTCAGACAGATTACAAAGCCTTCATGCCCCAGAGCTTTACTAATGTATGCATGTATGCATGAATGCAGATGAATGTAACAGTCCAGAGCTTTAATTTACCCCATGTCTTAAAAACTGCCTAGCCACAAAACTTAGATCTGAATACAACCTTCCTCAAAGAATGTCATTGTTGATATCTAAGGTTTTGATTTAGATACGTCTTAGTAGCGATGAAGTACAAAGCATGGCTTCACTCAAAATTTGTTCTTGTTTTGGGAATTCAGCCACCTCTACTAAGAATTTATGAGCATAGGATTAAACCATGGGCTTATGGAGTGCAGTATATTGCCTGGCAACAGCCACTGACAAGAGACTGAAGAAACCCCACTGTATACAGTTTTGGAAAATATCTACTCAATGATTTTCTACCTAACCAGTTCAGAAATGGTTTGGTTTAAATGTGAAGTTATTTATCCTTTAAACAAACCTCAAATGGTTCTGGAAATCTTACAAGTGTTATTTATACTTCTATTTTTTCTAACCAGGGATGGGATTGGGATGACAACACAAATAAGAAAGACTGTTCTTCTGGTCTGTCCAGTCAATGAAGATCCCCAACGAAGTTGCCCTTTCAGGGCTCAGATAAATTAGAGAAACTTGGCCAATATACACAAGTTCCTGAAAAAGAAGCACAAATATTCACCTTTCCTCCCATTTTTTGCTAATTTGGATCTACCTCCATATCTGAACATCTCTACTGGGTTTGGCTTTGGGTGCATGCCCAGTAATACATGACAAGATAACAAACCAGGGAAGTCCACCTTTGAGTCAGAGAAAAACAGATGTCAGAACATACTGCACTTGCATCTGCCAAAGCAAAACCTCCTCCCAGCAGCAGCACAATGCTCCAGGGCATCTTCCTCTGAACCACATTCCAATCCAGCAGTGGGGCTGGTAAAAATGGCTTTTTTATATCTAAAGTGAGAAACCAAAAGCAAAATATGTTTCAGCGGAGTGAAGACATTTTGTCTCTGGTTCTATAAGATACTAGGGAAAGGTTCATCAGGCAGAGGTATATTACTGAGAAACCTACAAAAGCTAGGGTAAGGGTAACATATATGAACAGTGAGCATGCTCCAGTCCTGCCCAAGAAGTGAGGGAGGTGAGCTACCCTGAAGAACTGCATGCAAATCCAGTGCATGTTTCCGCCATGTTAGCTGGAGCTGGGTGACTTTCACAATGTTACAACGCCCCTTTTAAATACCTTCTTCAGTCTGTTCGGGGTCAGACATGCTTGAATTCCAGCCTATGAATTTGGGTTTGGTAGCAGGAAGGATGAACAATAGCAGGGCAATAAACACAGCAGGAGCAGAATCAGTGATATACCTGAAGAAGAAAAGATAGCTTATAAAATAAAACATCTTTCTTCTAGAATGTGGCTGCCTTCCAGCATTGCAACCACTATTCCTTGCCATTCTGTTTGGGGTTTATACATTAGCAAAATACATCGTTAGTTCATGACTGAGGTGTTTCAGGTCTACCACAGCACAAACACAGTAATAAATGAAAACAGCTATAATACACACTAATAATCAAAATCATGATGAAATCAGATGAAATCAGATGAAAATGGCTCCTGGGGACAGGGTTCCTTCTTTGTGGGCAAGCCAAGATTCAAAGATCCTATTCCAATGACTTGCGAGAAAATGGCCTGAATGATTTTCCCATTACACATTTTATATTCTTAATTTGCCACATACAGTATGTGAAGAAGCTATTGAAAGCAAAGAATCAATTTCCCAGTGGTTTCTACATATGCTATTGTTTAGAGATAATACCAAACACCACCACTGATTGGAACTCATACAAACAAAATGCTAATGTGTGCTTGAAAGTGACAGAGACCAGCACTGCAGAATTTCCTTTTCCTTTAGGAGGTTCAGCCTGCTCCGTATCCCTCTCCAGCCTTCACTGCAGTACAAACTGTCAAGTGATACATCAATTGGTAGTCTTATGTGTGTGAGAGAGGATCCAGCCCAGCAAACATGAATTCTGATACAGTTGGAATCAATCAAAACAGTATCTAAGAGTAGGGGAATTTGATTCAAAACAGGGAGGGTACAGGGTGAAAAAAAAAAAAAAAAAAAAAAAAAAAAAAAACAGAACTTACTTTTCTCCGTCTGGGAAGAGCCTGTTGGCCCAGCCTTTTACAAAGCCTGGGTGTCTGGAAAACCACAAGAGAACCAGCAAAACAAACATGATGAGGACATTGAATTCAGCATAAGAGATAGGGCCTAATTTCTTCATTTCTGCCTTCAGCACATTGTATGCAGCTTTTTCTTTAGCAGTTCTCTCTGTCCCACAGCCCCAGCTTTTTTTAAAGCTTTAAGAAAAAGGAAGAAGAAAACATTGTAAGTATTAACACATTAGAATGATTTAACATGCTTGCCACTCTGAAGCTGTTCCTTCTGGGGACAGACACAGACTAAAGAAGAGGCCAGAAACAAAGAAGTGACAACAGTGTTGAAGTGTTTCATATGGACATGTCAGTTCTCACAGAAGAATGGGGTGTAAGAATGGATACGTCTCTGTCCAGTTTGGAGCAACCTAGTATAAAAAACTCAGTTTTGAATCAAGGGCAGCAAAACATAGACTAGCTTTTCTAGGACCTAAATTCTCAGATTTTAAATTGAAAAAGGCAGTTGTGCCTGAACATTAAGATTGCCTAGCACTTTTGGCTTAGCGTGAATCTCCCCAAACATAAAGGTTTCCAAATCTTAAAAGCTGCTGTGAAATGGAACTGCTCTCTTTTATAGCATGATCAACTTGTCTGTGCATTCATTTTATCCAGAAACTTTTCAGTGATCTGCATTAGCTAAATGGTTTACACAATATCACATAGTTAAATACATACTTGAGTCCCATGAAGGAGCACTGTAGCCAAAGCCAAGCTAGTACCAACATCAGAATCATGTTTGGGAATGCAAACCCAAACCAGGAAGCGAAATTCACAACATCATTATTGTTGGGATATAACCTGAAGAAAAAAATGCTTTCTGTATTAATGACAAAACATTTAGTACTCTACCCTCCCTTTAATATACCTTAGTGCTAATTAGACATCTAAATCCAAGACAACCATGACAAGTAATCATAGACAACATCCACAGCTTAACTGAAGTTAATAGGAAGGCAGCCCCGGGTTTCAGAGGAGAACTGAAACAATCCTCTTAATTTTCCCTGCATTTTACTCTAAAGAAGACAGGAACAGATGCTGGTGTTTTAGGTCTCAGTAAGACAAGCGCTGCTGAAAGGTCTCCCGCATGTTCTGGGTATCTTTCACTTCCAACATGTCTGCTCATTTATGCCATGACAGAATGTTTTTTCCTCCTCCCCATTAATAACTATAATAGGAGAGAAAGCATTGTCTTCTTCTGAAATTAATAGCTGCACTTCTGCCCACTTCAATAGATGACTAAGTTGCTACTTAGCTTAAAAGACTGAAGCCAAAGTTTTAAGAACAGCCGCTTTTTGTTCTTCCCTGCATCTACCAATAATAACTGCAGGACAAATAGCAAAAGCAAATTTCCAGCTGGTTGTTACAATCAACAGATAATGAGAAGACTTAATACTACATTCTTCTCAAGTTCTTCACTGCAGTTGCCCTAATCATATGCCGCATTTTAACTGAAAAAGAGGAGGCAGAAGAACCACTATCTCATATCTCAAAAATTTCTCAGGAGGCTTATAATACCAGCACATAGCTGCCTAAAAAAGGGTGGAGCAGAAATATGATACCCTTCACTTCATATACATTTCTCACTTTCAGTTCATCAGCTGCTTATTGCTTAGAGTTTGCAACTGAAACTGTCAACTATGACTTTAGTCTGTTGGTCACAGAAACAGTAACGTAGCAAAAGTAAAGAAACAGCAAGAATGACTTACTGGTTCATCTGGCCTTTCAATACCATGTTTGGACCTGTTCCAGTGAGTGTTGCAGTTCCTCCAATGCTGGCAGCATAGCATACACAAAGCGTCATTCCCTTACATATACGTTTCTTCATTTTCTTTTCCTCAGAAGATCTGGGGTCATCAGGGACTTGTCCATTGCTTATGACTAGACACAAAGAACATGACTTGCTCAGGTACAGTTAGGGAGGCAGAAAGTTCAGGACCAGGTCTGCAGGCTCAGTGCTTCCAGTTTTCGTATGCCTCATGCCTCATTTTAATTGAAAAACAAAACAACAAACGAAACAACAAACAACACACAGATATGTTCCTAAATATTTCAGACTTAAGTTCATGAGGGGTTGAGAAGAGAGGTTGACAATTTGGCTCCACATGACCCAAGGATGCTGTTTTCTATCTTGGTGCCACAGCTTCTCAAAAGCAATTCCCTACCTCACAGAGGGGCTTACCGTCACCCAGATATTGTAGTCACTGGAACCCTTTCAACATCCCAGTAAGAACTCAACAAGCTTTAACAGCTGTGAATACGGGTGAAAAAAGTCCACCCCAAACAAAATTCTAGCCTGACACAACTGTTAAGGTTATATATTACATCAGTTTACATCAAGTGTGGAATTTTGCTGCTGTGTTCATTATTCTCTGAGGTTAACAATCTAATCATGAAGTCTGGCTGGACTAATTTTGTGAGACAATGTATTTATAACAATTACAACCAATTCAACAATACCAAAGGGTATTCTTCACATACATTTGTCACCTTTCTTGCATGTTAGGGATAAATTAGCAAAGCCAAGCAGTTCCTTCTAAGAGAACAGAAATCCATCAAAATTATTTTCTCTAGTCTCACTGCAGAAGTTCATTTTTGAGACTCAAGAATCAACATTAAAAACAACATTTGTAAACATGAAATATTATCTTAATACAACTGTTTGGATGCTAAAAATGAGCAAACTCACAGAGCACTGTGTGACTAAGTAGCATTCTGTTGGGCTTGCAAGTCTTACATAAACATAGTGCCTGAGCTTTGCACAATAATAGTGCATTGTCCCATCACTAGTGAGGTAAGAAATTAAACAACCAAAAAGCAGAGAGCACTGTTGTATCTAATTTACGTTTCTGAAGTCCAGACAAATATGCCAGTTGTGAGTTAGTATCTTAACAGGGCAATGACTGACACATGTGAACTACCTTCTACACTGGGTCTTCCACAGACATATAAGCTAGAAAATGGACATGGTGTGTCCCAGGCAGAAAGCTCATTCTTGCACAGAATCACACAGGGAATTGTGGCAGATCAACATGCTAATTCAGTGAAATCAAATCTCCAAGAAAATCCCCAAGAAAATCCTTCCTCCTCTGAAAGAGAAAGGCAATACAGATTTGATATTTAATAGCATTTCATAATATAGCTCTCTGTACCAGTGCAATGGAACAGCCAGATCAGAGGAATGGAATATGTGTGCAAGTGTGTCAAGTGAAACCTACATCAGAAACACAGAAGTGATAGAAGAACCTTGTTGAGTCAAGCACCAGGCTAAGAATACACTAAAGTGTTCCAAAGAGTAGCTTGTCTACCAGGAGTCAAATGATGCCAGCTCTTTTCCAGTATTTCTCATTTTTCTCCCTATTTCCACATTCAATATGGTTAACAAATGGGTATTTATTACCCCACAACCAAAACAGATTGAGTTTGCACAATTTTTTTCAAACATTCCTACATGTCTTAGACGCTGAATACCACTGATAATTACAAGATCTAGAAAGTGTGATGCTGGTGTAGGTGGAAGATATTTCCCAGAAGACACGGTTTTTACTTCCCTGAGCAGGCCATTATTTCCAGGGAAACCACAGGTGGATAAGCCCAGCTTGAAGGAAAGAACATACCAATCTGCATGGGATCTACACTAAGCATAACAAAATGACAGCCACCAAAATTAGTAAACATTTTGGAAAACCTGAATGTCATACATTTAGAAGCTTTCAGTCATGTGAACATCCTATTTCCTTGAAAAAGGTCCTTCTTGGACAGAGAGCTCCGAGTGTAACAAGTTAACTCATTCCTTAGCAGGCCCTTACCCTGCACTGTAGTGGGATCTGATACATTCTTTTCCTGCAGCTCAGTCACTGTATTTGTTTGCCCGGTTGCTTGTTCCATCATGGTCACATCATATTCAGTGTTATCCATTTGCTCCAGGACAGCCTGGACAATGGGAACCATCATAGCAGTGGTGGCTGTGTTACTTATCCACATGGACAGGAAAGCAGTGACTATCATAAATCCCAACATGAGGCTGAAAAAGAAATAGGCAGATGAGAAAAGAGGAAAAAACTGAGACAGTTAGGCTCTGTAGTCACTGCAATTTTGAGAGCAGAGTCCAGACAGGGATGTGTGTATCCTCCAATAGTACAAAGCAGGGCTAGATTCCCTCCTAGCTCTGCTACCCTCAGTGAAGGAAACCCAGAAAGGCATTTAGTTCTTTGGTCTGTGCATGATTAAGTCTGAATCATCTTGTCTCCAGTGGCGACCACCTAGAATTTATCCAGATTAAAAAAAAAATAAAAAGGTAGTTCTGTAAGAGTGAACCAGAAGTGTTGTTTCCCTGGTTATTGGTATTAGGATTGTAAACTGTGCTTTCAGATCTTGTAAAATTGGCTTTTGTCTGTAGATGCAAAGTAATGGGTACTAGGTGCTCTTCACCACCACTATCTTTGCCTAGACTTACTCTAGCCACAGAACTGGCACCGCTTAAGCATGCCAGAATGAGCGTATGGCTTTTAGATGATGATCATGTCTCCATTCACAGAGATGGTAGTGGGGACCACAGATGGCTTGGGGTCATGATAAAAGGATTTCACATGAACTGTGAATGCCAGCACATACAAAATATGCCATCTGGGTAACAATAGCACAGATGCTCTTGGACTTATAGCTTCACAGCTTTACAGAGATTCTGACTAAAAGAAGAAGCAAGGGTACGATTTATCTCACCTGACTTCAGACATGAACAACCCAGGTACTTTGATTTCACTCAGACACTTACTGCTTTGCAGTTGATGGGTACTTCTTGGGCATGAATCATCTGCCCTATTGTAGATAATGGCTTCTCTCTTTTTGATGACAACAGCCACAGCCTAGCTATTTATATAAGAAGTGAATGCCTGTTTTTGGAAAACTGAATTCCACCTGTAGAGTCTCATCCAAAGATCAAACCATGGACTCAATGTGAAATGTAAGACACTATAGAGTCAGGGGCTTACATGGATATAGAAGTATTTTCAACCCATTCAAGTCATTTAGCAGTCTTGCAGTCACAGGTGTCCTCCCATGAGCCTGTATTTTGGCTAAAGGACAAATAAACCATCCATGCAGACAGGCTTCGCCTCTGCAAACTGCATAAGTACAGAAAAAGAGGTTCTTGGAGATTCCCTTCTCTGCTGACTCTTAAACACCATTCCTAGGTATCTGCTAAATTGACACAGACAAGGAAGAGGTAATGTAATTTTCTTACAGTGCAGGCTTCACCCCAAGAATTAGCAGGACCCTTAGCGCAATCCTTTTGTGAAGATTCCACTGTTCAACAGAAATTGCAACAATCAGCCCTCCAACAAAGAGCATGTTTGTGTCATTTAGATACTGCAAGCAAACCTGTAAGACAGAGAAGATAGGTCAGGGACCCAAATGTAGCCTATTGCTACTAGCTTCACTAGTACATGTTGCCTTCCACCCTCTCAAAGACATTTACTGCACCAGGCTCCATTCCAATACTGACAGAAAGAGTAGTTACAGCCTCAGCTACCTCCAGTTTCTGGAAACCTTTATTCGCTGTTTCCTTCCCAGAAAGCTGTGTAGAGGAAAAGGATCTGGGGGTGGTGACTGATGCTTGCCTGAACGTGAACCAGCAGTGTGCCCAGGTGGCCAAGAAGGCCAACGGCATCCTGGGTTGTATCAAGAATAGTGTAGCCAGCGGGACCAGGGAGGTGATCGTTCCCCTGTTCTCAGCTCTGGTGAGGCCACACCTTGAGCACTGTGTCCATCTTTGTGCCCTGCCCAAATTAGGAGATTAGGAGAATCTCCACATTCGGAGACATTTCTTCTCAGAAGGAGTAGTTAGGCATTGGATCACATTTCTAGGGAGGTGGTGGAGTCACTGTCTCTGGAAGCATTTAAGGAAAGGTTGTATGTGACGCTTAGGGACGTGATTTAGTGGGCAATACTGGTAGAAGGGGGATCGTTGGGCCAGACGATCTTGGAGGTTTTTTCCAACCTTAATGATTCTATGACTCTAAGTGCTTAACTAGAAATAGCAGTTTCCTAAAAGACTGGTAGAGACTCAAAGTATTATGTAGATACCAGAGATGCTAGACTACAAAATAGGTTTACCAGCACCTTTAACACCCACACCCATCCTTACCAGCTGGCTGGCCAGTAGCAAATCTAAATACAGTCTCTCTGCCTTGGGCTAAAGCACTGCCCTTCCGCTAGCACAGTCAATTATCCTTTTGCAGAATGAGCTTTGGAGGGGACACAGTGTACTTGCTGGCATTATGCTGTCTACCATGTCAGAGGAAGTTTGTTTCATGCATTTCAAAATCTCCCAGAGGATATGTCAGCAAAGCTCTCTAATGGGATGGATTATGAACACATAAGCTGCTGGTACTAGTGTGATGTTATCCAGCAGGATCCAAGCCCAGAGAAGGACATTCCCCTCTATCATCCCCAGTCCCCTTCTCCCCCTTTTCCCCCCGTAACATCTTGGGCAAATATGTATTGATTTCAGCATTTTCCCATACCAGAACCCAACTCCCTGCTTAACATGTTCAAAAACAGCATAACAGAAGTGGAGCGCTTTCCTATCAGACTTGTTTGGTACATATCAATGGGGGATCAGAGCAATGGATTTCCCTTTATCAGATATGGATTGAGCAGGAACTATTCCTTACTGATTTAGAGCTCTGAACTCCAAGCAGAGGGAAAAATACCACTGGCATGAGGGAAGTAACAGCCAGTGGGATAACTTCAGTGCACCAGTACACAGCCATGATGATGATGATATATGCACATTTGGCCTCCTGCAACACAATGGAAGATGTATTTAAGAAAAAACAAAACAAAAACAAAACAAAAAAACAACAATCCTATTCTTACAGATAAGAAAAACATTGCCGTCTCTTATAAGGGGACCAAACATTCCATTGTCTCTAGCCTAACAAGTTATGCAGAAAAAGGTAGGAGGGACATGAGGCATGAGGATTTAAATTTGTACATTTTAAGTCTTGCTCAGAAGTCACTTGCATAAAAAGGTCTTTTGGACTATAGTGCTTTTTATAATGCATCCACATAAAATGTTGGGCACAAAAAACAAACAAACAAAAAAACACCTTCTACAGCTAGGTACATAGTTTGCAGTGTGCAATTACCTCTTGGCAGTTGAGGTAAGCAGATTTCACATCCAGGAGCCAAGAATTTTTAATAGTGTTGGGAGAACTGGGCATTTCCATTTTTAGTTAGCTATTTTTAAACGTATGGCTGAATTTCCTAGTGTGGATGAGTACATTTTCTGAGATTCACATTTATTTGAGGTGTGCTAGTAACATGCCTGAGCCAAGAAACTATATCACTGAACAATTTAAAAGTTCTTAGGTAACTCTCTTCCAATTTATTTATTTTTTTGGGGGGGGTTGTAGGGGTAGTGGTAGGAGTGGCTAAGGACATAGGAGGTTTTAACTTGCTTTCCCAAATCATACTGTTCTTATCTAATAAGGGGATTCCCTAGCTTAGAAATGTTGTAATGTTTTTTTATACAGTTGGTCAGGTATTTCTGTAATCTGGCTTTCCTTGGTTTGTACTTTCAAAATTGTTAGGAGGAGTTAGCATTCATTAGTCTACAGTAAACAGCGTTGTAAAGCTTGAGTCAAAGTGTTCTGTTCAGGATTTGCTCATATTTAGAGTATGTGTTCATAGGATCTGATTCTAATGCACAAATGGGACTTTATTGCAAAAATAAACGAGGTTTCAGTGACATTTTAAAATTGCTGTAAGGTTATATTTATAAATATTATAAATAGGGGTGTGCTTTCCTTTTTTTTATGCTTTTTTTTTTTTTTTTTTTAAAAGGAAAGAACAGCTTAGGAACCAGAGAACAGTCTTTGCAGGCAATTTGATTTTTTTTTTTTTCAGATTGAGAGGAGATTAATTACAGCACAAGTTTTGAGAGAAATATTTTTTTTATCAGAGACTAGAAGCTATCAGACAGATCCTATTTAAGTCTCTTTCCTTAATAAATACAAAGTGAGCTCATGATACCATTTAAGCTGTACAACAGTAACTAAGTGCTACAACTAACTGTGGTTAATTTGTTGCCAATATGAAAGACATGTAAACAACTGTAAGAGAACATTACTTTGAATAAAGCTCACAATACTGAAGAAACTGGTTTTGTACAGTGGACAGTAAATAATTTACATGAAGTTCAAAAATACAGCCATACTTATAAATTAACTCCTACACTTGCAGCCAATTCAAGCAACTGAAGATTTGGAATTAAATAAATATCTGTATCTACATCTATATACGTCTGTGATTTATGGGAATGGTCACAAAATGTTTCTTTGGTCTCTGGATAGTCCACAGCAAAAACAATGACCTGTCTTCTCACTGACAGCTGGAAAAGCAGTCACTGATGGGAATGTTACTCTCCCATTGTGAAATATTGTACTTTTCCCAGATAAGACTTACGACACAATATTCCTACAATTACTGGAAAACTGAAAAGGAACTCCTTTTTGGGGGGAAATTATCTTTCCTAGTATTGATCTTAGTAGCACCTAGCAGCCAGAAATTCCATTCTGTAAAGCACGGGCATTCAATTGAATGGCAGACCTGATACTGCTTAGACAGGTAAACCAGAAGTGCTGGCAATTTTGCTTATAAATGTGCATGATGTTTTTCTATATTTTAAAATACACTGAGCAATACAGGTGACTCAGAAGAAAGACTTCTTTTAGCCCTGGAATAGACTCTATAGCTCTAGTAGGCTAGAATACTGTAAAGAGAGGTTTCACATTTTGCCAAGAATGCTACAAGGTATTAAAGACAAAAGTCTTCAGTGGGTTATTCCAATTTTATGCTAGTGTAACTGCTCTGAAATCAAAGGACTAGTGCCAACCCCATTACTGGAGTAAGATGGATGTGAACTTCAGTATATTGCATGTGAAACCATCTTATGATCACGGCACATGGTGCATGGCTTCTCACTGCACCATAGGATGAAGAATGACACTCACCAGCACTACTTACAGTATCTCAGAGCTTCAGCAGCAGAACTAGAAAACCCAGAAGTCCTGTATTTCAGTCCACTGCCAGTCATTTCTTGACAACCTGGGATGCAATTCTACTTGTCCTGACCAGCTACTTATCTTTGGGCCAAAAAGAATTGCATCTAATTTGCAAGATGGGTTGGGTCTGTGGAAGGCCCAGGTCCTGGCCCTGGCACATCCCTTTGGATGAATAGATGGGCACTGGGCTCCCATCTCAGAGCTTCTACAATGAAGACCACTTGGGAGCAGAAGCTGTAAAACATGTCCCTGAGACCTAGGGGCGGAGGACTGAGGTCCTTTCTGAGCTGCATTGAAATTCCTCTGGGGCAGGGTGGCGTGAAGAAGACGTTTCAGCGTACTGTCAGGGAGTAAAGTGCCCCGGTGGGCATCAGCCACTGCTCGCTCCGGTGGCGAGACGAAGCGTCGAGGGTAGACCTGGTGGGCAGCGCTGCACCGGTTGCCGGGTGCTGGGCCCCACACGAGGAGGACAAGCAGGCTGGGCGCCCAGCACTCCTGGGCAGCGGCGGCGCGGCTGGCTGGGACGGGGCTCGGGGCAGCCCGGCCCGGACCTGGGGGCAGGGGGAGCGGGCTCCGTCGGGCAGCAGGGCCCGGACCCGGGGAACCGCGCTCCCTGCGTGAGCCCCGCGGGCACTTACCCGTGTGGGCACAGTGACCGGCAGTGGCAGCAGCAGCAGCGGTGTGAAGAAGAGGATGGCGAAGGACCGGTACCTCAGCAGGGGCCGCAGGCACGTCGGGGCCATCTTCTGCGGGGAGACACGGTCAGGGCGCGAGCAGGAGCGGCGCCCGCCGCCGCCGCCTTAAGTACGGGGCGGCGGGGCCGCGGCGGGAGGGACGTGGCGGGGGGCGACGCGACCCGCCCGCGCCCTGGCGGGGACACCGGGCCCGCCCGCGCCCTGCCGGGAGCCGCCTCCGCCCTGCCTGGGCCGGGCCTCCGCTAGCGGTGCAGCCGCGGATCCGGGGCGAGCGAGCCGGCGGAGAGCTGCCGGGCCTGGCGCCAGCTCAGCACCCCTGGCCAGCGCCCGCCCTGCCGACCCGGGGGCGGCTGCGGCCGTGCGGCGACCCTGGCACCCCCCGGGCCGGCCGGCAGCAGCCCTGGAGGATGCGGGAGCAGGTGCCCGCGTCCCCGACCGACAGACACGCGGGAGATCTCGGCTCGATCTAGAGCAAGGGGGCTCGCTCCACCATATGGGCTCCGGTCCATAGTAAGGGGCCTTTCCCCTTCCCATTGTTCCTCACGTCCATCTATCTCTGCACTGCCTCTTGTAGTGCACTGCTGTGAACAAGGAGAGATACTCGATGGCCGCGTATCACAGTTTCCCCCCGAGCCGGGAAAAAGTTTTCTCCGTGTTCATAGTGCTCACAGTGCTTGCCAGTGACCACAGATTCTCTTAACACACATTAGCTGTGGGACCAAAATGCTGGCCCAGGCTTCTCTCAGGTGCTCTGGCTGGTGGTTCTGATGGCAAAGGAGGATCATCTCTCACTCATTTACACAGCGGTGAAGGATGGAGCTCCCTTGGGGAACTGGAGAGTTAAACCTGCAGGAGGGTCTCCCCAAGACAAAGGTCTGTGAAGGCTTGCATGCATGGCTGTGTTTCACTGCCTATTATTTGGTGAGGGACTGTGTGTCTATGATCTAAGTTAAAAATAACACAGACTGGTTAATTTGAAAGGTTATTTTCAATATGCATCATTTCAGTGATTTGGTCTGCAGTACAGCCACAGAATCAGAAGTGAGGGCACTTCTGAAAGGGTTGCAAGCACTGTTGACATGGCAGAAGGAAAAGACAGAAGGATGGAGAGACTGGAAACCAGACTGAAGACAAAGAATTTGTTGATTTTTATGCTCTGCTTCTGTGATGTCAACAGCCACCCGAAACTGAAGACAGCAAAGACCACATCTTGACAGTTTGATCCTGCAGACTTACCAGGCAGTGAGAACAGAAATAAAGAATTTCAGATTCCACAGCAAGTAATGAGGGAGCTCTGAGTAGAACTTGCACTGTTTGTCCTATGTGGACCAGAGGATCTTGAGTGATAGAAGTTCAAAACAAAACACTCCAATGTTACTGTTCTGTTTGTAAAAGCAATGAATGTCCACTAAGGAAAACAGTAGCCAACCGGATCTGTACAGATTCCAAATCTTCAAGCCTTTAGCAGCAATCCCTCTGGGTAACTTACCAACACAGAGGAAACTTCACACCATCACAGAGCCTAGCAGAAAGTGGGGAATCAGCCAAAACTTGCATTCCTGTGGCCAGTATCCAATGAAAAAATGCTTCCTAGTCAACAAAGAAAAAGCACTACAAGCACTTAATTAAGAAAATGCAAAGAGTTAACTCCAGAGGATTTGTACTGTGGTTCACTTTGTCTGACAGACCAGTGCAATATGATTTGCTATCTTTTGCTATTCATATAGCAACTGTCAAGCAGAGGGAATGCTTTTGGAGGAGAAAGGGACTGAAACATGGTGTTCCCTTGAGTTTCTACAAATAAGTGATCTGGGTCAGGGATGGGAAGACAGTGCAGGCTTCCCAAGGGAGTAGAGCGCAGAAAGGAATGAGGAAAGGGGAAAACCAGGGAGGTGTCAAGACCAGCAAGTACCTGACCTTTAGAGAAAAATACCCACTTTCCACCTATTCCAGTGGAGCTGCTGGTCAGCACCAGCAGAATAAGAAATGGAGATCCAGGAGGAACAACACTCAGTATCAATTTGAAAGAGGACATGTCTAAAGCTCTTTTAAATCTGAGTGTGTCTTTATCTGATACCCCAGGCCCTAAAGAAGGCAGCTGTAAACTTTTCATGAATCAAGGCCAGCAGTGGTAAACTGAGTTCAGAAACCTAAATACAAGGCTGATCTCTCCCAGCAATATACTAAAGCAAAAGAAAAATGGTAAGTATGACCATACAAATGAAAGCAAACAACTTATTTATTTTCTAAGTGGGCTCCTTTTCTAGAGGATTGCTTTAGGAAGAGAGCAAGTTGACTTGTGTATTTGCATGTGTGTGAAAAACGCCTGCACTGACTCTGCTGAGAAGAAATTCAGCATATCAAGTTGAACATGAGACAGCAGTGTAGCAGTGTGCCCTGGCAGCCAGGAGGGCCAACCAAATCCTGGGGAACATCAAGCACAGCACTGCTAGTCGGTCGAGGGAAGTGATTGTCCTGCTCTGCTCTGCGTTGCTGCAACCTCGCCTCGAGTACTGTGTGCAGTTCTGGGCACCATGGTATAAAAAGGATGTGAAACTATTGGAAAGTGTCCAGAGAAGGGCTACAAAGATGGTGAAGGGCCTAGAGGGGAAGATGTACAAGAAGCGGCTGAGGGCACTGGGCCTGTTCAGCCTGGAAAAGAGGAGGCTGAGGGGAGACCTCATCACAGTCTACAGCTTCCTCACAAGGGGGAGTAGAGGGACAGGCACTGATATATTCTCTTTAGTGACTAGTGATAGGACCAGGAGTTGGACTCGATGATCTTTGTGGGTCCCTTCCAACTCGGGAAGTTCTGTAATTCTATAATTCTATGAAATCAAATTAGTGCCAACTACAGTCCCTTTGCAAGTCTGCTAAGAATTCAGCTAAAATCAAGCACAGCAGCCTGCTGTGGCAGAGTAGCAAGCACTTCACTGATCTGAACCTGTAACACTGAAAGGTAAATTCTGACTTCATTCCTCCTCACAAGACATTATACAAGACATCTTTCCACTGCACATTTCATATTTAAGATACCTCCATCACTATTTTATAATCCATTGAAGGTTTAAATGTGTCAATTCATGCTCTACTCTAAGCAGTGGGGGGGGGGCAAAAAATTGGATGAATCCAGATATTAGAACTACACATTCACATGTCATCACAAACGGTAAAAACATGGACAAGATGAAGAATATTGAGTGAGAACAAGAGAGAAGATACCTACGTTCAGATGAGGAAAAGCTTTGCAATGCATCACCAGGATGAAGGAAGGGGAGAGCATGATTGGATGAAAAGTGTGAGGAGAGCAGTTTACAATACAGACCAAGGCTGGGCTCTGATCTGAAAGAGATCGGCATACACCAACAGAGAGAAGTACAGAGGTCCAAGTTTGATTTGGCAAGTCTTCCAGCTGCTCTCTCTCTCCCTCAGTCTGTGCTCACAACTCAGATACATTTGGCTCTGGCTGGATCAGAGAGTGCTACGGGAATGGCAGTTCTTTCATGTAATTTGCTTCCTCATCAGTGTTCCAAGAGGAAGGACAAAGCATTGGCTGCTTGCTTTACAGAACAAGTTGACAGTGAGGCAAAGGAAGCTGCAAAGAGACCATCATGCTTAAAAAACCTCCAGCAGGAGGAGTTACAGGTGGTTCAGAAAAGAGCAATCAACACCACCATCTTCCCCCTTTCCCCCACTCTTCCCCCCCCAAACCTACCAATCCACTCTCCCCTTGCAGCCTGAAATGCAGTTCACGCTAATTAAGCACTAACTGCAGCCTTCAAGAAAAAAAATACTTTACATTTCTCAATACTGCTCTAATTTCTACTGTGTTCAGAGTAGTATACATGATATGTATGGTTTCACAGTCTTAAACTATTGCTTTAAAGGCAGTAAGTAAAATTAGATTTTTGTTGCAGACACAGTCTAGAAAGTGGAGATTCTAGTAGACTTTGGGTTAAATTTTGCTCCCCAAACATTGAATAATAATGTTGCTCTTGTTTTTCTTGGTAGTAAGTTTCAAATCAGTTTACAAAGGAACTCAAATCTTTATATTACAAAGGGACTTAGGCATGGGTGGTGACAAGAAACAGAACCAGTAGTTGAATAAGGTCTCTTGTATCTTAAACCCTTTCCATAGTTACCAGACATACTGCTCCCATTTACTGCTATGTGCACTGTTTTTTACCCTGATAACCATGGGTATTTTAAAGCATATCAAGAACCAAGGGCATGATGTATTAACAGAGCCAAGCCCATCTAATGGCTCACAGCCACTGACCTGCCCTGACTCTCTTGCTGTTTCTTAGCCACTGGCACTAGGACTCATTGGAGTCTTCCCCCAACTGATTGATCTGGCAGAAAACCAAGTCAACAAAGAAAGCAGAACATTTTCTGCTGAGTTAGTGAGCTGAATAGATTCAATGAAGTGTTCAGTGACCTCCAGAGCCAGCTCAAGGAACTGGGCCAGTTATGGCTGAGGTGGGAAGAGGAATAGCAGAGACAGTAACAGGTGGCTCTTTTCAAGACAGCAAGTTCATAGATGAGCTTAGCAGCATTGTCAACAACAAACAGAACCTTTTGATCTTCCATTTTTTACTATAGATACCAGAATAAGTGTATTTTTCATATGATGTGAGTCATTGTAAAGAGCTCCACTGAGAAGTGGGACACAGCTGGAGACTTGTTAACAATCACTGACCTGCATTGTTTGGGTTAGTAGAAAGAGACTAGGAGTCAAGTCCTCTTGGGAGGTAAGAATTCCAGGATCTAGCAGTCTAAGCAGGAAAAAAAAAAAAAAAAAAAAAAAAAAAAAAAAAAGGAAAATTAAGATTCCAGTATAGCTTAATTTGTTCCCAATAAACCACTTTCTGATTTTTTCTTATCACTACAAGCCAATTATCCCCATTACTCTTGTTGTTGCTAGATATGAATGGTTTGTGGCAAAGAGGCTTTGCAGGTTGCAATTTATTCATTGAATTTCAGAAAAACATACTGCCCTCCTCTAATTTAAATGCTGTCCAAGCACAAAAGTATTGTTTGCCTGTTTAAAAGCAGCCCATTTGACTTAGATAACTGTTATTCCTCTCAAAACAAAACAAAAACTCTCATCAATTTCTTTTTAAAATCATTTCAATGCTGCAGGCTCCGTGCAACACCCAGAGGTACAAGAGTTTAACAAAATTATATTTGATGAGGAATGTAAGACCTCTGATACTTGACACTGAGAAACACAAGTGAAAACAACTGACACTGAGGCATTTTAGGACTTAGCAGAAAAAGAACAGTCTTCTACCCAGGCTTTTGAAAAATCACATTTAAAAAAACAACCAGTTCAGAACTTACCTTTGTGTGATGCTTGCCTTAAAAAGACATCTAGACGAGATCCTGTACAATAATATTAAGCACTGCAAGGTTTACACAGGATTTAAATAGAAAGAGTTATTACCAGCATTCAGAAAACATCACGGTCCCATTATTTTCTGTTTTTCCTTCAGTCAGTACTTTCACAGCTACTGCCAGTCCACTGTGTTTCTTTAGGAATATCTTTCAACTAAGTTCCCAGTGGAGCATCTGATATTTTTCCAAGAAAAGCTTTTCAGGCTCTGAACGAGCAGTCCTTTCAGTACAATCCCTGTGCCCAACAACTTTCTACATAAAAGCCCTCATTATGAATTTTGAGTCAGCGGAGTTTTCTCAGTCAGCATGTGTTGCTGATCAGGCTTTCTTGAACTAGAATAGGTATTTCCTGTATAGTTTGCATGAAACCCTAAAGCACATTAAAATGTGATGCAGGCTAATGACTACAAAAGAAAATCAAAATAAAATAACAATAAAAAGCTTGATTTGGAATTTGCAACTCTGTAACCTTTCCCTTAGCTGCCATCTCATTAACATATTTGTTCAAAAGCCTTTTCTCTGCTTCATTACATAATCTGTGTTACAAAAATCTAGATAAACACTCATTATTCTCAGGTCTAGATAATGACTTAATGGGCTTCCTCCTCCTCCTCCTCCTCCCCCCCCCTCCCCAAAACAGGGGGACAGAGGGACAGAAGGTGTTTTTATTGGTGGGAAATTAACCACACCAAGGACATCTGTTGCATATGGCATTACAACACATTATGCAATTACTAATGAATGATCCTTCCCAATATCTCTGCATAATAGACAAGTTAAATATTATTGTCCCATTTTACAGACTAAGAATGTCAGTTCATATTTTCTGCATCTCCTGTACCTGCAGTTCCACACCTGGCAAGATGTATGACATCAGAGAAGAGCTCCTCACATTGCACTGCTATAAGGGATCAGTTGTAGTAACAGGTATAAGAAACGCTAGGCCTTCATCAGAAAAACATGAAGATGTGGGTACTGGCACTAGAATAAAGATATGTTATTCTGTTCCTGTTTCACTCTAGCTTATGTTTCTTCATAAGCTCCCTATGTAAAAATGTAGACCTGCATGACCCCCAGCTGAGATCTAGTGGCAGGATCTACCATTAGCAGGCAGGATCTGCTGCACCTGTGGCTTCTTAATGCTGTCAGTCAGTCCCAGCCATGGTAAAATATCTCCAGGGACAGAAGATGAAATCAGTTAATGCAGGCTTTAGGTTTCACTTTGCACATTCTTGAATGCTGAAGGGGTCCAAGGTTCACTGGGGGAACAGTGGGGCCTGGGAAGCTGCTGGGGCAGGGCTGAACAGCACTGCTGCAGGACTCAGTGAGGTGAGGCTGCAGGACCAATGCTGGGCTTCTACCTCATGGTGCCAGTGGGCAAATATTTCCCCTCCACTAGCTGGCAGTTCTCATTTGTGACATGAGCACTGCTCTGGCCCGGGTGAGCCAGCAGTGCCCCAGGGAGGTCAAGGTGGGTTTATGAGACTGGATGCTAGTGTAACCACTGCTCCAGAGGTGGAGGGGGGACACAGTTCACCCCTGCCCTCCCTGCTCACTGCAAACCAGACATGCAGCAACAGCCCCACAGCCCTTCTGCCTGGGTGGGCCGTGAGAACAATGGCCAGGATGACACCAGCCAGGTGGTAGCGAGGGCTGGGGCCCGCAGCAAGGGGCTGCTGTGGGCAGCCCTGTTTGGCAGGGGCTGCCCTCACTGACTGCAGAGCTCGAGGGTTTGTTTCATGGTTCTGCCTCTCCCTCTCTGCTGGCACCTGTTTGGACTGTGTCCTTGTAAACTGCAACATCATGATTATCAGCAATATATTACCAAGGGTAAGTTCACAGGTGGGCTGCCATGCTCCCTGCAGGTTCCTCTGCAGACAGGTGCTGGTGCTGCACTTGCACTGCTGCCCGTGCAGCTGCTGGGCAGGAAGGGGTGATGCGGCCTGAGGGCTGCCCATGACTATTGCCACGGCAGGCACAAGGAGATGCTGCTCTGCAGCTCTGTCTGTACTGGGCAGGAAGGGCAGGTGGAGGCCTGAGGACCTCTCAGAAGCAATGAATGAAGAGAGCGTTCTGCTGCCCCTCTCATCCTTGAGGCACTGATGGAGGGTGTGTGGGCAGACTTCCACTTCCCTCCCGAGGGAGACACCAGCTTGCCCTGTGCCCTGGAGAGGGCAGACATGCCTGGGTGTTGTGGGGTAGAGGCTGACCAGGGTCAGCCCCCCACTGCACTGGGGCAGGGGTGTTCCCCTGCCCCTGACTGCTTCAGGCATCTCCAGGCAGTGACTCTGCCTGCTGCAGAAACCCAATACGGGGGATAAACTTACTTAGAAAAGGAGGAAAGAGAAACCTCATAGTTCCTCTAAGGACCACTGAACTAATCTGTATGTGGAACCCACACTAGAAACTCATGCTTATCTAATAGTGCTGCAGTTCCTTCTTGAAAGATCTTTTGGGTAAGCAACTGTTTGGAGTGGAGCTATTGCAACAGATGCATTCAGTTTAATTTCTTTCTCCCCTCTTCTTGTAGAAGAAAGGATACCTAGCACAGTAACAAGAAAAATCATGACAGAAGAGACCAGGTTCTGCAAAAACTGGTAATATATCTTTCTCACTCTCCATTTTCTCTGAAAAGATTTTATATTAATTTTCACATGTCAAGGTTGCTGCTTTCTTGCTGCTTTCCTGTGGAGAGGTTTCTTGCATAGCCCTGTCCTATGCTGCAGGACAGCATCTGGCAGAAAAGTCATTGCACAGACACACCAATCTATACCTCGGTTTTCACTCATGTCTGATGTTCCCTTCTGTTGCTATGTTTGTAGATATGTGATACCATATATATATATTTAAAGATAAATAGCTCTCTCTGGTAGGACAGAAGGCTAAATGGGGGAATGAAGCATAGCTTGTTGTGTCTCTAGTAGTTAGGCCATTGGGAAGATTATGTGAATGAAGACTGTAAAGCACTGCAATTAAAAAGAGTCATACCTAACAAGGTCGAATGAGCTCAGCCTCAATTTTATTTGGTCATAAAGGAAAACCAACACTTAGCCTTGCATAAAGAGAGCCTGTGTATTTCATACTAAAGGGTTGTAGGGAATGCTTTTAATAAACTTTGTCTAAAACTTCTGATAGTTGTCTCTGTAACTTCTTAAAAGAACATTCCGACAGAAAATCCATTCCATGGTTCATCCGTCTTGATCATGTGAAGCTCCTGCTGATGTCTAAAGCTGATTTTCTTTAGGAAACTTATCTTCCCTAAGAAAATTAGAAGAGCTGACCTTTTGACTCTTCCTGGGAATTTTTATTTTATTTTACTTCCCTGTTTTGAGGTCATACTGCATACTGTTGCTAATTTATGTGGTCTTAACCTAGCCATTCCATCCATGCTAAGAAACCAGCATATGTGCTGGGTAGACTGGTTCTGTGGCCCAGGCTTGATGTCAGAGTTAGGAACAAGGGCCTGTGCAGAAATCCCAAACGACATCAGCTACTTTGCCTCACATGCCTTCTCTAAACAGCAGAACTGGAAGTATGCACATCCTTTCAGGCAGACTTCCTGCTCTTGTAGGCTAGAATGGTAGTGTGGGCTTGCCTCTAGCTGTTTTATCCCCATGACCATCACTATCTTGTGTCAGGCACCAGTACCTCCTGTCACAGGATCTGGGGCACACTGCAGTGTGTATTGGGAGGCGAGCATGCAGCTGTGTGGGTACTTGGCTGCTGGTAAGGGTCAACCCACCACACTGGTTCATTTACTCCTCCCCCCCATTTTTGTTCTTGGTAGTAAAAGAGGTGTGCATGCTGCCAACTTCTCCCTCCATGAGGCCCACTGCTTGCTGTTTCTCACACTCTGTCCAGAATGTGATAAACCAGTTGCCCAAAATGATATGAAAAGTCATCAAACAGAAGCACACAAGCAGGTAAGAAATGCTATATTTTCTTCAGTGAAAGCAGCATAAAGCTCTGCCAGCGTAGACGTATGTTTATGGTACAGTGCTCTATATTAACTGGATTTGAACCTCTGTAATTGAACAGAAAATCTGTAAGGCTCTGAAATGACCCTTTCAGGTTTTGTTTTTTCAGTTATATTAGCTTTTCATATAACGAGGACGTGACATTTTTATATAGTGTTAAGAACCCTGTAGCTAGAGGTACCATGCTAGCCAGTGAATACCCAGGCATGACTTTTTATTCTGCCTTACTAGATTTATTTTTTTAGCACTTTCATTGATTTCAGTTGCATGGGAGAACATAGGAGTAGCTTTCATGGCAAACTTCCAGACTTTGCATTTCACATGGGGACCTTCGAGAACTGTATCCCCACATAGAATGACAGCTTCCTGCAGAATCACCAGGGATGTGTTCCTCAAAATCTCATCAACACAGCGCAGGCCTGAAGAGAAACAATAATTCACGAACAACCTCTTGATGATGAGCATCAAAATGAAATGGAGATCATCTCAGCAGCTTGAAGTTGCATTGACATGTGAAAGCACTAACAGTGGTATGTCCTGTCATAAGGACGTGAACTTTCAAGTCAGTGAAGCATCTACTAATGCAAAATTTATTTACTCCACTGGTAAGCAAAATTCCTCATTGTTATGTACTGGGTCAACTCTGTTAAATGTTGATGAAAATCCTCCTGCATTCTCTACAGTTCTCAGTAATGCAGGTTGAAGGATATTGTTGTTTAACCAACCACAGTGAAAGGGACAAGTGTTGCTTTCTATTATGCTGGTTATTGTAAAGCCAGAATGATTCCACTGACTGCTGGCTCATTGGCCATGTTCTGTTATGCTGCCCGTATAGGCTGGAAGTGAAATTCCTTCTGTCAGAAAATAACTGGATCTTCCTCTTTCTACTTGTCACACAGAGCAAAAATGATTTAAAATTTCTGAATACTTCATAAAGCCACTCATTTCTTGAAGTTGAGAACAGCTTTATTAGGCCTAAGGTATTGAACAGAGTATGTCAAAAAACAAAACAAAAAATCATGAATCTGGTAAAAGGTTCCAGAAAAGAACAGAAACCACTTAGTGTTTGGTAAAATGAACTGTAGAGAGCAAAACCCCCTGGCAACAGGGATATACACAGTCCTGGCCTAGAATAAGCTAGGCCAAGGCAGGAGTGAACCAACCACAAAACACAGTGCTATAGTGGAATTTCAAAGACTCTGAAGTATGTGAGAAGGGATGTTGGTTTAGTTTTGAGTGATGCCAAAAGCAAAATATAGTCACAGCTCTAATTCCTTCTTGGCTAATGGAATAAACATCATCTGTTTCTCTACCACCAGTGACCATAAGTGGATCTGGGCAGCCTATGTAGATTACTTCTGTCCGCATTTTATTTCTCCCCTTTTATCCTTCTGACGGTACCGCTGACAATCTTTGTGTGAGGTGCAATAAGTCATTCCCAGATGACCAGTACTCCCAACATCAGGTAAGCATACTTGAAACTGAACGAGAATGATCTGTGTTTAATTTCAGTCAGGTTATTTTTCCAAAAAGCTGTATATTAGATAAGAAAAGGCAGTGTATCTTGGCTCTTCAAATTAAGATTCATGATACAACATATTCAGCTGCAGCATCACTATGACATGGTTTCTACTACCCTTCCCAAAGACTTACCTCTGTTGCAAACCACAGGATACCATGCAGTTGGGTGTAATGCAAATTTTCACTTCATTATTGTTTTCTTTTTAGCAGAATAAAAGCAGTACAGCTCATAAGCTGACAGAAGTTCTTGCTGTCCAGTCAACTTCAAAACCCAGCAGTGATCCACCACAGCCTTCTACCTCCCTGGCTCCCTCTTCCAGTTCTGAAAAGGCAACAGCATGGAAAGATCTCTGTCCCAAAGGGAAAGGAAGGTACCATCCATTGACCTCCAAAACCTCGCCCAAACCTTCAAAGAACAAAAAGATGGTTGGCTTTCCTTCTCCCACAAGAGGCAGACTTTCCACATCACCTCAAGCTCTTAAAGACACCTGGTCTTACGACTTGCTGGTGACCTGTGCCCACTGCAACGTTATTCTGCCACTTCCAACTCTTCAGAAACATGAGGTGAGAGGTGATGTATTGGACTCAGCCTCCTACATGCTTGAACAAAGAGCCACACCTGCATATTAATAAGTATTTGCTACTTATCCCCTCACTGCCCAGGGTCCATTTGCTCACATCTATACAAACAAGATCCATTGCCTATTTTTTAGGCACCTGATTTTTAGGGAAATACTAACCACAACTCAAGCCATTAATTTTAAGCTCAAATCCTGGAAAGTCTTCAGTGCCACTCTTTTGTTCTGAAGGCTGGTATTGTTCCTGCTAATCAAACACTCTATCTGTATTAGAGATGGAGCTCTAGATAATTTTGCATCCCAATAAAGGGGCCTAGCTGCCTCGCTACTGAATGTGATTGTGGGTTGAATATAATGTTCTCCTCCAATATAACTATTATTTATATTTTAGATCAAATGTCTACCTTTGATGTCTTTGAGAAATGCTAAGATGAACTAAATATCAAACAGTGGAAAAAAAGGTATTGCAGAATTTCAGAAACCTAGAACAGGATCCATCATTCAGGATTATTCTGTACTGGGTTAATAGGAACAATTTTGCAGAGGAAGTGCATCTGGAAGAGCTAATACTTGGAATATCACAAAGCTTTTTGGATTCCAACACATACTGCATTCCCATGAGGTTCTTGAAGTGACTCAACAGAGAGTTTTAGTAACAAAGTAATGCAAAAGGCTAGTTTTTCATTTTAGTACTGGAATTAAGAGGAAGCTAGTTTAGGTCAAGAGAAAGAAGAAAAATAATAATTTTGGGTTTCCCCAGCATTCTCTCCTCTCTCTCCCCCCTCCCACCCAGCAGAAAACATGTGTGAAGAATGCATTTTAGACAGCTGTGAAATAAAAAAGTTGATTTGGGCTTCTAAAAGTGTACATTTCACAAAATCACAAAATGGTTAAGGTTAGAAGGGACCTCTGGAGGTCATTTGGTCCAACACTCCTGCTAAAGCAGAGACACCTAGAATAAGTTGCCCAGGACCATGTCCAGACAGCTTTTGAAGACTTCTATGGAAGAGGACTCCACTACTCTGGGCAAGCTAGTTTCCAGCAAGGTATTTACAAAATTCATGCCTGCTTGCACTTAATCCAAAAGTGCCTTTTTCAGTAAGCTATTTGAGCAAACACTGCTTCAGAGCCCTTGTATTTTCAGTCTTTTGCCTCACACATGCATATACATGTTGTACCTCTCAAATTATGCTACTCTGAATAGGGCTACTCTACTGTAAGTGGAGATCTGCACAAAGATTTCACAGAACAGATGTTCTGTCCAGGAGTATCTACTCCAACTCTGAATGGAGCCTTAAAGAATTGTTTCAGAGACAAGAAGTAAAATTAACTTTTCTCCATAGTAAAAATTGCATATTCAGTAGAAGCATTGAGATAATTATCCCAGACCATAGGAAGTGCATCTCTTTCCTTCTCCTATCCCAGGTAGACTGTGAATCTTATTACTTATCCTCTTTTCTAACATCACTCTCTGCTTTTCAGTTCCTAACAGTATGATTTCCTTTCAGTCCAGTTAATTAAATGGAACTAAAAGCAGTTGTTCTCAGTCTGTCCCTTTATGCTTTATTCAGTAAATTAGGTATTGTTTCTCCATCTAAATCTTTCATCTCCTGTGAAATTAAAGAAAGCACCAAAGTGAGAGATAGGGAGTTTGTCTAGTTTTGAATTACAGGACATAAGTCTTGAGAAAAAAAAAGAAAAAGGATAATTACATGGATTATTTGACTTGCACTGCATTTCTTTATATTGCACTGCTGAGTGATGACTTAGAGACAGGAAGGCTGTAAAACTGTAACTTTAACAAGACTTATAACTGGGCTTTGTTTGTTTTACAGAAGACTCTTTCTAGAGTGCTCATGATTAAATTTGGAAATAGAGAAGCATCTTCAGACTGAAACTACAGCTCAACTTTAGCAAAAGGTATTGCAGGTGCAATAGGTTTATCAATGAAGAATAAGTGTCTCGCTACTCCAGATCAAGAAAAAAGAGTGACTCAGATTTTTATTCCTTTTTAAGAAAGGCATGTCACAGGTTTCACCACTGAAACCAGTGCTTTGCACTGCTTTGCACTGGTTACACCTTCATATAGTTTACTATTCTTAATATTCTTGGATATGTATCACAGCAATGGATCCATCTGTATAAAAGCATAAGCTCTCTCTCATTTTTTTGCTTTGGTGTTTCTACAGATTCCAGCAGTGCTGGACTTACCAGGCCTCCAAGGAACTCCTTTATTGGTCTTTGAAGTCTGTTTGAGGATGGCTGGTAAACATAATACAGTCTGAAGAGAATCCATGAATAAAACAAATTTGAAGAGGAACTGGGCAGGCAGCTCATGCTTCATAATGTAAATCTTTATACAGAGAAAGGAAAACATTTTCATCTCTTTTGAAAAGGATCTTCAAAAGCTTTGCTGCACACCTACAAAAACTTGAATCAACCAGAGAGGGCAGCTGACAGGAAGGGGTTGCTGCTCACACTGTGTGGTTGTCATCAGAAGACAGCCTCAGACTGTTGTTGTGCCCTGTCGTGCCCTCTAGTGGATTAGCCTGACAGCACGGGGGGGGGGGGGGGGGGGGGGGGGGTCACATCTTGTACTGCGAGACAGGAACCAAAGTTGTTTTGTCTGAAAGTGTCATAAAACTGACATTTGAGCTAAAGGACAGCTTTATCCTTGCAACAATTTTATCTATCTTATCTATCTATCTATGTAATTACCTATCATCTACCTATTTGAGGGGGGAGTGTGGAGAGAAGGCACAGCCTATACAAAAAGCTGTATTTCCTTATTTCCTGTCCTTTAAAAAGCAACAGCATGGCTAATTTCGGGAAGCTTGTGCTGCAGTGTCATCTTTCGGCTGTTGATGGTACTGGCATGTGCTAAACCGCTTTGAGACTGGAGACCTTGGCTGCGGAGAGAGGAGGACCAGGTGCTCCCACTGGCCTGGGTCCAGATCCCAGGCTGCACAACGACGCTGCGTGGGTTACTCTTCTGTTCTGAGGCGACAAAGCTTTTGGCACTCTTATAAAATTCAGTGATAAATAACGTCAGGCTCCTAGCTAGATTAAAGACAACAACATCTGGATGAACAGACCATCAAGCCAAGTGTTGAAGGACTGGAGCACTCCTAAAGTCTTGCTGTGACATGCTTTGGGGAAGAGTATGTCCCTGTATGCAGATCTTAGTACCAGCTGCTAGGAATTTATCTCAGCAAAAAGAAGGCCACTTCTAAACCACCAGAAAATATGAGCCAAATGCAAATACATGTACTTCTCTGAAGGCTCTTGAAAACACCTGGAAACCTTCTGAATCCTTTCTCCCAGGTTGAGAGATTGGATGTTACAACTACATCAAATGTTACTCTGGTTATGGAGGTGCTGTGCTTACCCTATCCAGCAAGGTGATCACTTCAAAAATCACTTCAATGATCACTTCAAAAGCTGTAAAAAGTTTTTTTGTTGTTGTTGTTGTTATTACAACATTTTGTTTGTTGTTGTTGTTGTTATTGTTTTTGTTTCCACCTTTGTCCTCCCTTTCTCAGAAATGCTTGAGACTCAGTGAAAGAATGTTTTTACTACTCATGACATGATCAGTAGTCAGATAAATGGTGTTCTGCACAAGCATGCCACCCTCTGATACCAGTGTGACAGTCTCAACTCTGGCAAGTGATGGCAGTGTTTTTCAGGTGCCCAGATGTTTTATTTTCAGCAAGCATTGAAAGCTTTTCTGTAACTATGATGTTTTGGTGAAAGGTTCTGGTGCTCCATGTGAGGAGGAGGGTTTATCTGCCTGTGGACAATGCTGGATCCTTGGTTAGATGGAATCCCACAAATGGGTTATCGTATACTATTTTCTGTACTATTTTATGCATCAAAGGAAGCAAATTGTTCAGACTATGTTGCTAAGAGGCATCAGCACCATAATGTTAAGAGAACCTCATTTAATATTTTTTTTTTCCTACCCCCAAGTAAGGTAGCTATAAATCAAAGGGCTACGATCATTCTTTTTAAACAGAAATATTATTCCAAACTCCATTGAGGATGGGTGGGTAGGATGTTTTCCAAAGTCTGTTAGAGAAGATACTTTTTTTTTTTTTTTTTTAAACCAATTACTCTTTCTTAAATGACTGACTTTGTCACTGACACCTGATGAAAGTATATATTTAAACATTTCCTCAGAATATCAAAACCTGTAGGCATGCCTTTCCAGTCTGGAGAAGGCAATGAAATGCGGCATAATAAAATTTTAAACTAAATTGCCTATAATTTTTTTTTTTGTCTTACAATACCAAGAAGATAAGTGTAAACAAACACCGTAACACATGAAAATTAATTCCATATTGAGTAGCTTATTGCTTCTGCAGTAAACCACACTAAAAATGATGAATGGCAAATATATTTTTATCTAAACATTTATTCTAATGGCATTAGCAAATAGAAAAATATATAGAAATATGCAAATATATTCATAAAGACATTAAAATAAAATGAACATTATCAAGTTGCTCACCCTTCATGGAGATTTTATGCTTCAATATTGTGGGCATTATTAAAATACTTATAATGAGGTTGATGGAAACTGGAAACTGGAAACTGGAAATAGTTTTAATTCTTCAAAAACCTGAGCTTTCACTACATTTCCATGCTGAGTGCTGAAAATTTCTAAAAGGGATAAATCTGTTTTATGTTGCTTTTATGACATACCTTTACATTTGTATATTTTATTATAAGAAGTGTAATTGGAACTTCTTTGTATATATTTTTATATGTATATATTTAAAAACTAAAAGAAATGGTATAAATTGTGATAAGTAGAAGATTGTATTAAATAAATTTTGCCAAAGAATGATCATTACCTACAGTAGGATTTTAAGATGTTTATTATGCACTACTAAAAACAAACAAACAAATAAACTTCCTGTTACTGTCTAAATTTTTACTAGTCCTTAAACTACTATTTTGGAAAGGAGTTTGGAATTCTTGTGCAAATTTTGTGGGAATCTTTCCAATAGCATATCTCTAATCAAACCTATTGGCTAGTTCTCTAGTCCTCTAACTTGTGTACTTATATACATGCTACTGAAATACATCATCAGCTCATACAAGCCACTGCCATGCTATGTTTCTTCAGAATTTATCATTAGTTTGTGCCATCTTCACCTGACTTCTTGGGGAGGGCATGGATACAGGACAAAGTGTTCTTAGTAGTGCAGCAGGATGGGGGAGTAGCTGAAGGCAAGCACTGTCTTGCACTAGAATAAGAAGGTCACCAAGAAGAAGAACAGGGTCACCAGAGACAAGGAGTGGGAAGGAGTCTACATCTGAAGTGTGCTCATAAATTGATGGGGATATAGAGTTTTGCATTATTCCAAGCTTTGATTAAATTTATTCTTAGAAGATTGCTTTAATGTTGAGATATTTATGTGCATGTAAGTATAGCATTTTTGGTTTTTTATTAGACAGAAAATCAAATGTGATTAGCAAACTGAGGAGGAAATTTTCTTCTTGTAGAAGTAACTATAAATCCTGCAAGGCAAATCGAGCCTATCTGCCCATGTAAGGACTGTGAGGAATGAAAAATGAGTGATAACTGAGTGCCACAGAGTGAGGGAGTTTAAGGATGGGAAGGGCCATAGTCTGGGGTGGTAGCTGGCATGCCAAGCTTGGGGTTGGTGGCCAGTGGGACCCATGCTGTTGCCAGCATGGTAGCTGTGCCAGGCCCTGTCCTGAGCGCTGCTGGGAGTACATGAGCCTGGGCCACACCATGTTTCTGCCTCTGGTGATAGCAGTAGCTGCATGGTCATTGGAGAAGAAAATGGAGGGTGACCAAAGGCATCACCTGCCTGTGCTTTGGGATTTTTGGGATGGATTCCTGGAAGGGGTTGGGGGGGGGGGGGGGGGGGGGAGGGCAGAATGGGGTCTAGCTTGTCCCATGGTGTGGCTGCCTGTGCCACGATGGCATACATGGGGCTGCCCAGCCTCAGCTGGGGTCATTGGGGTCATAACCACCCACAGCCCCCCACCCCAGGCCTTCTCCTCTCTGTATCTGGAAGTGACTGTGCTTGGGATGTGCCAACACAGTTGAGAAAGCAGCTATATTGACATCAGTGCTCAGGTGTCTTAGAAGAGGTGAGGGAGAGTGC